GAGTCTTATCACAAGAAAAACCTCAGGAAGCAAGCTTTGAGCCAAAAAAAACTAAGAAGGATTCTCACACCACCCCGTGGCTCAAAGATTGCTTGAAATAAAGTATAAGTGACCCTCCACGGTGGTGAGGAAAAGAAAAGGGAGAAAATAAAAAATACAGCAAAGAAGCAGAGGGGGAAGGAGGAGGGGGAGAAGGGGAAGATAATCGTTACACAATTACTACAAAAGATTTCTTGGGCTTGGTTACAAATGTTGCCCTGATCTGTTGGACTTGTCCATCATCAGTTGAAGTGGTTACAAAATACATGGAAGATACAACACGTTGTATAAGTTGAATAAAACATGGAATCATACACGGTACAAACATAAGAGTTGCAACAACACACAGTAGATAAAACAGGATACGTTTGACACATGGGCCACCTGGAAGCCAGGAAAATAAATCAAAGTTTGGGCCTTTCCAGGTTTGGACAGGAACATGGGCTATCTTCCGCATACCCTGGGCAATCTGTTTAACAACTTTCCCATTATCATCAATTTTTAGACAACAATTAGAATCATTCAGTTTTCCACAGACACCACTCAGTGATACCTGAGGAGTGGTATCACAAATGTTACATGATGAATAAAAGGTAGAAAGTGAAAAGAGACATCCATACATTTGGCAATAACCAATAATAATAAATAGGTAAAACAAACAGAGGTATTTGTGTCAGCTGCTTTCCCAACCCAGGAACTCCCAGTGTAAGCCAGGATCCAGATGGGAATTCTTCAGTAGAGGTTGTGGTGTTTATGAATAGCTCCACAATATTACACTTCAGTTAATTCACGAAAAGTGTATCTAATCTAATTTGACAATATGTGGACTTGCCATGTAATGTTTTCTAAGATAATTTAGTGTCTCGAGAACTTTACACTTGAGCATTTCCAAAGCAATTCAAATGCTGAGAGATATAAATATTAGTTTGGCAAGTTCAAGCATTGTTACAGTCCACAGAACTTTTCACAGGATAGTGTGTGCAGGATACCCCCACAGTACAAACCATCAAAGAGGGGTAATCCCAGAAACATACACTTCTCTTTTAAAACTTAGGCACTTTCCAACAACCATGTTTTGGATGGAACTCCTAGACTGATGTGACACTGAAAAGCATCAGTGCAAAAGGCTTTCTGATAGATTTCTTTTGTGACCACATCTGATAGATATTAGATGGGTCCCTTGATTCATTTCCCAGTTTGTTAGGAATTTGGAAACACTGTGGAGGAGTTACATGCAAATCATAATCAGTTTGGTAAAAAAAGGGGTGAAAGAAGGGGTCAAAAGAAATGGCATCACTGTGCAGGGAGTACCAGTAAGCCAGGATGACCTGTAAAAACCCTGAACCCAGTTGTGAAGTTTAACAGATCCAAGGACTGATACCAATCACCACCCACACCCACAAAACATAACACTATTGCAACCAAAAAATGTAATCAAGAGGTACATTCAGTGTTCTAGCATGATCAAATCTTCAGTATTTCTGTCACAAAATACAAATAGTTAAAATCAGCTATTAGCCTTTTTGTGTTCTGTCAAGGTCCCACGGGGATCTTCTGTGAAATAAAAGAAGACACCGACTTGCCCTTTTTGGGCTTTGTTAATAGGGTTAAAAAAAATGAGGGAACAATCAACAATCCAGCAAGTGTTGATTTCATATTCCTTTTTCGGGGTGTCTTTAGCCTTCCAAAGATATTTGTTAAGGGATCCTGTTAAGGTTAGGGGAACTGGCCTCAGGTTAGCTAAGTCAATCGACACAATTTGGCCGGGGAGGTAAGAGTGTTTCCCTGGCTTATCAGCTACTGGATCGTGACTCACAGGGATAACTGGCAAGAGTGGTGAGACCTTTGGACAGAAGGTGTTAAATCGACGATCTTGCTTCCCTTTGTTGTGAGCTTTCTCATGCATCCACCCTTCACCGCCCCCACCCCGCTCACTTGGGGGGGGCGAAGACATCAGTTTTCTAATGGTTTGGATAGCCGTTCAGGTTCCTTGGGAGAGGCCCTAGGACCTGGGGTTTTGCTTTCCTCGAGATTCTGGAGCTTTTGTTCTGGCCACCAGTTAACTAATTTCTCTAACCTGACAGTGGGTAATCCATTCATCAAATCTCGGGGAACACCCTTTTGCCAGCCCAATGTCTAGAGACAATTATGTTTATGATCAATATTTCGCCTACCTGTTTTTACTGACAATGAGACCCTTCCAGTCCCACTGAGCTTTGGGCTAGGAGGCCTGGGGGCAAGGCTGACTGCTGCAAGTCTTACTTCTCTTGGCTCGAATTTAGTGGAGGAAGAAACCACTGGCCCATATTTCCTTCCATAGTTAATTAACTCTTGGGCAACTTCTCCCCACGTCCACACTTTGTTTCCTGACTGCAGATGGTTGGGGGTTACAGTTCCTTCTAACGCTGCCCGGGCCCTCTCTCCTTGAGGCATTGCCTGTATTTTTCCTTGCAGTTGAATACCTATAGGTTTTAACGACTCTGGAAGCCCCCTAATTAGAGGGGTCATTCTTTCAGGATCGACAGGCATCATCATAGGTGATTCATGGTGCGGCTGCAGCTTTCTATCATACATCATTTGGAGACAAGCAGCCTTTTGAACTCTCTCTACTAACTGATCAGTTGTTCCAGTAATGGCAAGAGGGTCTCCCCGTTCTAAAGGGTTGAGACCACCTGCCCAATAGGCAGCCCTTTGCGTTAAGGACCAGGGAGCATGACTGTTGCCAGTAGTTAAAAGTACTCCTGGTCCCCAATAATCCTCTGCTTCCTTTTCTGTTAACCGAATCTGGTCGCCACCAGTGAGGCTAACCCTCCATACATATTCTGTCTCAGATTCCTTTGGAGAGCGGCTAAAATCTTTCTTCAATTTTGCTAGTTCAGTGGCTGAGAAGGGAATTTCCTTAACATTCATTTGAGGATCTAGATCCTCACTGTTATCAAATGTATATTCAGTTTTTATCAAAGGACGCAATGGGGCTATTGGAGTTTCTAATTTATCTAGCCTTTCCTTCATTCCTGGTAGTTCCACCTGAGGAAAAGTTTTTTCTCGAGGCAAACTGTGGGTGACGGTATGGCTGGCATGCTTACACGTTAGCAGTTCCTTAAAAGCCATTTGCAACAAAGCTGAATTACGTTTCTCTCTTTCTAATTGTTCCTCGAGATTAACTATTTGATTCTGCAGAGTTTTTACCAATTCTTCTGTAACTTTAACCGATTCCTGCAGTGCTTGTATGGTTTGGAGTTCTGCCGAATGCTTTTCATCTCGAAACTCCACGGCAGCTTTTAAAGCAGCCCCGAGTACGGCACAAATAAACGACTTTCCTTTTCCAGCTCGTGTACGAGCTTCATTCTGTAAGACACTAATGCGGTCCGAAACACTCTGCAAATTATGCCAATTTTGGCGTGCCCAGTCCACCCCTGACAAAGAGGGACGAGCACCATGCTTTTCTAAAAGGTCAAATAACACATCTTCACTTTTCATACTGGCATTACTGTCGCTCATTTTTTCAATATAATGAAAGACCAACACTAAGGGAGGAGAAGGTACACGTATTCAAAAGCTCAGTTACTTCTCACCGCTCCTCCCAGGGAGATACACCACACCTAAACAAATGCAAATGATTCAATCACTCCTCCTTTCTTTGAGGGAGCACAAAAAATGTGAAGCTAAAGCAACACTTCCTAGGTTTCAATAGAGTAAATAAAACTTCTTGGAGAGGCACACACGTTTAAGTAACAAAATATCACTTCCTCACTTCCCCAACAGGCGCGTGCACGCAGACACACACACACACACACAAAAAAAAAACAAAAACAAAAAAAGGTTCAAGTTTCGCACTTCAGTTACAAGATACTTAAAATCGCAAAATTCAGAGAGGTCTTCTCGAGGAGGCACACACTTAATCAAAATGCAAGTATTCAAAATACGTCCCCGAGAGGTACACACATAAAAGGTAAAGTTTCAGAATATGGAGCGGTCTTCCTGGAGAAGGACTCACGTCAAAATTTTCAAAACTATCGCTCCTTGCAACTCCAGGAGGTGCACACAGAAAAAAAAGGTTTCAAACTATATCTGGAAGGACAACACTCTCACAGCGGGTATCCTGCAACGACTACGCCATTAAATAAATGTCTCGCTCCAATTTATAGGAGGGAGAGGAGGTTCTTTTATTATCTATATACCCGGCATGAGATTAAGAAGCAACGGTTCAAATGTTGGTCCAACCAGTTTATTACAAATCTTAATCAGGGGAAATGGGGAAGGGGAGAACGGACACTATTATGATTAGGGTAATGGGGGAAGGGAAGGAGGGCGATAGAAAAGATAGAAAAGAAGAAGCAAGGAGTCTTTATAGGCAGCAAGAGGGAGATAGTCACCACCATGGATCCAGCGAGGTTCGTAGTTCAGTCTTTGATCCTCAGTAGTGGTGGGTCGTCAGGCAGAGTTGTCCTGTTGCCAATGACGACGACGACCATGGTGATGATGGCCCTTTTTCAATGCTTCAAAGTGGTTGAGTCAGCTCCTTTTGGAGTGACAGCTCAAATCCAAAGTGGTCGAATCAGCTCTCCTTTGAGTGACAGCTTCTGGCTCTGGGATCTCAGCAGGAACCTCCTTTGTTCTTATCTTTCTGGCCTTGCCAGCAGATAAGAGGAAGCAGGGAGGCACCAACTTGCATCTTGCCTTCGCAAGATACAATGGTATCATCCCCCAGCCTTCCATACTTAGCTGGAACGGTTTGGCCACAAGCCAGATCTTCCGCTCTTCTACAGAGCAAGCAGCTCTGGGGGAAGGGGCTTGCAAATGTTCCCAAAGCGATATCGATTGTCACACAGTTAGCACCCATCAGCTGCCTCCTTGACAAGTCACTCTGAGTCTTATCACAAGAAAAACCTCAGGAAGCAAGCTTTGAGCCAAAAAAAACTAAGAAGGATTCTCACACCACCCCGTGGCTCAAAGATTGCTTGAAATAAAGTATAAGTGACCCTCCACGGTGGTGAGGAAAAGAAAAGGGAGAAAATAAAAAATACAGCAAAGAAGCAGAGGGGGAAGGAGGAGGGGGAGAAGGGGAAGATAATCGTTACACAATTACTACAAAAGATTTCTTGGGCTTGGTTACAAATGTTGCCCTGATCTGTTGGACTTGTCCATCATCAGTTGAAGTGGTTACAAAATACATGGAAGATACAACACGTTGTATAAGTTGAATAAAACATGGAATCATACACGGTACAAACATAAGAGTTGCAACAACACACAGTAGATAAAACAGGATACGTTTGACACATGGGCCACCTGGAAGCCAGGAAAATAAATCAAAGTTTGGGCCTTTCCAGGTTTGGACAGGAACATGGGCTATCTTCCGCATACCCTGGGCAATCTGTTTAACAACTTTCCCATTATCATCAATTTTTAGACAACAATTAGAATCATTCAGTTTTCCACAGACACCACTCAGTGATACCTGAGGAGTGGTATCACAAATGTTACATGATGAATAAAAGGTAGAAAGTGAAAAGAGACATCCATACATTTGGCAATAACCAATAATAATAAATAGGTAAAACAAACAGAGGTATTTGTGTCAGCTGCTTTCCCAACCCAGGAACTCCCAGTGTAAGCCAGGATCCAGATGGGAATTCTTCAGTAGAGGTTGTGGTGTTTATGAATAGCTCCACAATATTACACTTCAGTTAATTCACGAAAAGTGTATCTAATCTAATTTGACAATATGTGGACTTGCCATGTAATGTTTTCTAAGATAATTTAGTGTCTCGAGAACTTTACACTTGAGCATTTCCAAAGCAATTCAAATGCTGAGAGATATAAATATTAGTTTGGCAAGTTCAAGCATTGTTACAGTCCACAGAACTTTTCACAGGATAGTGTGTGCAGGATACCCCCACAGTACAAACCATCAAAGAGGGGTAATCCCAGAAACATACACTTCTCTTTTAAAACTTAGGCACTTTCCAACAACCATGTTTTGGATGGAACTCCTAGACTGATGTGACACTGAAAAGCATCAGTGCAAAAGGCTTTCTGATAGATTTCTTTTGTGACCACATCTGATAGATATTAGATGGGTCCCTTGATTCATTTCCCAGTTTGTTAGGAATTTGGAAACACTGTGGAGGAGTTACATGCAAATCATAATCAGTTTGGTAAAAAAAGGGGTGAAAGAAGGGGTCAAAAGAAATGGCATCACTGTGCAGGGAGTACCAGTAAGCCAGGATGACCTGTAAAAACCCTGAACCCAGTTGTGAAGTTTAACAGATCCAAGGACTGATACCAATCACCACCCACACCCACAAAACATAACACTATTGCAACCAAAAAATGTAATCAAGAGGTACATTCAGTGTTCTAGCATGATCAAATCTTCAGTATTTCTGTCACAAAATACAAATAGTTAAAATCAGCTATTAGCCTTTTTGTGTTCTGTCAAGGTCCCACGGGGATCTTCTGTGAAATAAAAGAAGACACCGACTTGCCCTTTTTGGGCTTTGTTAATAGGGTTAAAAAAAATGAGGGAACAATCAACAATCCAGCAAGTGTTGATTTCATATTCCTTTTTCGGGGTGTCTTTAGCCTTCCAAAGATATTTGTTAAGGGATCCTGTTAAGGTTAGGGGAACTGGCCTCAGGTTAGCTAAGTCAATCGACACAATTTGGCCGGGGAGGTAAGAGTGTTTCCCTGGCTTATCAGCTACTGGATCGTGACTCACAGGGATAACTGGCAAGAGTGGTGAGACCTTTGGACAGAAGGTGTTAAATCGACGATCTTGCTTCCCTTTGTTGTGAGCTTTCTCATGCATCCACCCTTCACCGCCCCCACCCCGCTCACTTGGGGGGGGCGAAGACATCAGTTTTCTAATGGTTTGGATAGCCGTTCAGGTTCCTTGGGAGAGGCCCTAGGACCTGGGGTTTTGCTTTCCTCGAGATTCTGGAGCTTTTGTTCTGGCCACCAGTTAACTAATTTCTCTAACCTGACAGTGGGTAATCCATTCATCAAATCTCG